AAGTGCAGCTGTAGAAAAGTGCTTGTCAGTTGAATAAAAACCACATTTGATAGAGATTCAAAAGACTGTGTGTTTATCTTCCCTTCAGCAGAGGTCCTCCTGTGTGCCTGCAGGGAGCACAAGGTGTCAGGGTGAGTGTGCTGGTTTGGTGGAGGAGACAGCAGGCAGGACAGCGTATGCTCTTACTCTTCAAGGTGCATCCCAGACCTCCAGGCTGGTCCCTCCTGTACGAAGGCCCCAGAGCAGAGTTTCCGCTCCCGCGGTCGGGCCCGGTGCCTCTGGCCAAGGTGCTGGAGCAACACGGGATGGGGCGTGCCTGGCACCCGCCTTGGGAGCCATGGCTTTGGCCTTCGCGGCAGCAAGCACGGGCCCATGCCCAGCTTCCCAGCTCCCCCGCGTGTAAGACACCGCAGGCAGATGTGTGTGTTTTATGTTTTATTAAAAACAGGTTGAAATGGGACAAAATGGAGCTCTACCAAATTGAAGGGAAGGAACAGGAGAATACCAAAGGTCAGAAAAGGAAGAATAAGCTAAATGGGTGGCATAGGCAGAGACAGGGGAAGAAAATAAAAGTACAGGCCTCTGGGTAAAGAGAAGGTGTGTGTGAGTAGAAATGAAGCTTTTTCCTGTCCAGCGTGCTAAGTGCATACAGGAGAGCACTCACCCCCCAAAACAACCGAAAGAAGGTTTGCACTTGGATCATGAACTGTTTCCAGGCCCCAGCTCCCTAACCCTCAGGAAGGTAAGGACAGAGTAGAGGAAAGCAGGTGTTATGCCTAGCTCCTCCTAAGAAAGGAAGGGGGAAGCTGAGTAAATGTGAGGGTTCTGTTAATTCTTGGAAGAACCTAAAATGTAGGGAAGCACAGAAATGGAGTATTTGGCTCACGAGGGAGTTGGGAAGAATCGGTATGACAAGGCGCAAAATTTGGGTTGGCTTTCCTAATACCAACCCTTTAGCTCTGAAGCTAGTCTGTCAGAGCCCGGGGCAAGTTTAGACCTGATTTCCCCATCCAAGTTCATTGCTCTTGGAAAAGGTCAAAGTGCAATGCTGCTGCTCTCCCAGAGGTGGAGCACACATGTGAGAAAGCAGTGACTTATTTTTTTCTAGAAAACTGGATCTCTGTCCAGGACTCCACAGCCTCCTTCCAGCAAGGCCTTTGTGCTGCGAATTACCACCCACATGGAGGCCCCACAGCGCTGATCCTGAGCAGCAGGAGTGAGCATTGCAGGCAGCGAGGGGGTGAGAGTTCACTGATCCATAAGCCAGAAAAGGAAGAGAAATGAAACTGGGCTGCAGTGGCCCCGCCCAGGGATGGCCCTTGGCACAGGAAGGTCGAGTTTTCACCCTCAACGCAAATTAATCTTCCTATAACCACCACTTATTATAAAAGCTATTCCTGCTTCAGAACCATCAGGCTTTCAAGTCTGGGCAGCTCTTCAAATTCTAAGGTTAAAAAAATAACATTTCCTCCCATCATCATTCCACATCTTCCCTAACCTCTACTCACCCTCCAAGTGCCTAGTGAGCCTGGGGTCCATCCTCTCAGCGTGAGAGGGGCCGTAACAACACTGGCCTGAGGTGGGACAGGCAGGCTTCGAGCCTAGTAAAGAACATTTGAGGAAGTGTCTTGAGGATGTTCTATTTGAAAACAAAAATACAAGGTGTTAAATATTTGAAGAATGCTGTGAGCACCTGTAATGGGATAAGATGTGACTTGCAGAGAAACTGTTACCTGGGCTCTATGATGACAATTCAGAATCACTAGGCAGTAGTGTTTCAAGAGCCCAGGCCTCAGCTGTGAGTTTGAAGGCTCCCCTACAATTCCCCTGCCACCGGTAGGCTTTTTCACACGAAAAAGTGTCACTTATTCCTCCCCTCTCCTTTATGTAATCACTCACCCCTGTTTGAACTGTTTGAAATGAATTAACAGACCTAGCCAGTTTGGCTCAGTGGATAGACTAGAACTAGAGCCTCTGACTCAGGACTGAAGAATCCCAGGTTCCATTCTGGCCAAGGGCAGGTACCTTGGTTGCAGGCTCCTCCCCAGCCCAGACCCTGGCAGGGGCCTGGAGGCAACCAATCGATGTGTTTCTGTCACATGGATGTTTCTGTCTTTCCCTCTCCCACTCTCTCTAAAGATAAATGACATGGGGCCCGAGGGGAGAGGGGAAGATGAACTAACAACTAGGAGAAAATATGAGGTAATCCAAAAACACCAAAAAGAAATTCCATATCCTAGCCGGTTTGGCTTAGTGAATAGAGCAGGCGTCTTCAAACTACGGCCCGCGGGCCACATGCGGCCCGCAGAGGAGTCTGATCCGGCCCGCCAGGTTTTTTGGGCAGTGAGCGCAGCCGAGGTGTTACAGTAGGAATTAGTAGTTCATATAGTCCGGCCCTCCAGCTCTCTGAGGGACCGTGATCTGGCCCCCACTTTAAAAAGTTTGAGGACCCCTGGAATAGAGCGTCAGCCAGCCTATGGACTGAAGGGTCCTGGGTTCGATTATGATCAAGGGCACATGCCTGGGCTGCAGGCGCATCCCCAGTGGGGGGCACGCAGGAGGCAGCCAATCAATGATTCTTTCATCATTGATGTTTCTATCTTTCCCTCTCCCTTCCTCTCTGAAATCAATGAAAATATGTTTTTAAAATTCCATAGGGCCACTAACAACTACCAAAATGACGTCAGGCTCTTCGTACTTCCCATGCTCAACCAAACCTGCCCAAACCACAAGCACTCGACAATTCATTGAGTAGATTCACATGAGAACACACAAAAGGTCATTTCAGAATTTAAAACAAAGTCACAGACATTTAAACTTTTTTTTTTTTTTTTTTTTTTTAATCCAGAGAAAGTAGAAGCATGAGTTCTGGGAGGCAGAGGAGGGGCAGTAGAGACAGCAACTGTGTCCGCACTGCACTGAGCCTCAGTGAGGCTTCTCCAGGCTCCTGCCAATGAGCAGGAGTCCAGAGTGGTTTTCTCTTTCTTCAGGACCACAGACAAGACGTCTGTAGGTGCTTTCCTTCAGGAGGTGCCCAGCTAGCCCTTCTAAAGGCTCTGGAGCCTGGGCTGTCTTACGTTGGATCAGCCCTTCCTGAGGCTGGGGGCACCATGGGAAATTAGTATGGCCGTTTTGTCCTTTACACTTTATATCCTACCCATTGCCCCCGCCCCTCCCCCCCCCTCCCGCCAGGATGTACAAAAGGACAGTCTGAGGGTAGGGAACATTGGGACTCTCAATTCTGGGATGGGTGGGAGGGGAAGGAAAGCTGGGCCCAATGCAGCTTCTTCCCTCCCCCAACCCAGTGTCGTTCCTCCTTACAGCAGCCTGGTGAGCACTCCGCTCGCCGTCACTGGCCTTCAGTCCGATTACCTGGTGGAAAGGCGCCTGACCCCGGAGTGAAGGAGAGCAGAGCTTTCCTGTCAGAGCATGAGGGAGGGGCTGGGAGAAGGTGTGGGATTGTACTTCCTGGATGTGTACATGTTTTCTCCTCTGTCTCCATGTGCATAGGGTGAGGACTCGCAGAGGAACTGGAGTTTAAAAAGATAAAACTCCCGATATTGCGAATATGAGATGGGATGTACTCTCCTTTCTTATCCTACCTCCTGGTGTTTTTCCCCAAAAAGGAAAATCACTGGTTCCTGGCGAAGGGTCCCGAACACTCCAGGGCAGAACAGGTGGCCCGGCCAGGGCCTGAGCTTTGTTCCTTCCCAGCCCTGCACGGCACCCCCCCAACAGCCCCGCCTGATCCCCCTGGATGTGTGCGCGCGGAGCTGTCAGAGGTCAAAGCCCGAGACAACGTCAAGGACCCCATTCGTTACTTTCCACGAGTTGCCCGAGTATCAAAAGGCAACGTGCAGCCGGGACCGGTGTGGCTCAGTGGATAGAGCGTCAGCCTGCGGACTGAAAGATCCCGGGTTCGATTCCGGTCAAGGGCGTGTACCTTGGTTGTGGGCACATCCCCAGTAGGGGGTGTGCAGGAGGCAGCTGATCGATGATTCTCTCTCATTGGTGTTTCTAACTCTCTATCCCTCTCTCTTCCTCTCTGTGAAAAATCAATAAAATAAAATAAAAAAAGGCAACGTGGGTCCAGGGCCGGAGTGGAGACTTACCGAGCGCTCTGCTCAGGAGGCAGGGACCACTGTCTCCATCCAGGTTCTCCTCAGCCTCGGCTCTGCTGAGGTCCAGGTCAGAGGGTCCTGTGTTGGGGTGTTGAGGCTGTCCTGTGCTCCGTGGAATGGCTAGCAGCATCCCGGTGTCTAGCCACTAGGTGCCAGTAGCACACAACCTCTCCCCCGACTGGGCTAAAGGGGCGTGCAGCCGGGAATCGTCCACACCGGAAGGAGCCCAGGTGGGTCCAGCCAGGCCACGGCTGTGGAGGCGCAGCACAGCGATGTGCGAAGGGGGGAGAGGGAGCCCCGAGGCCCCGGGGAGCGAAGAAGAACCTCCAGGAAGCAGACAAGCTGTCCCTAAGGAAGACACTTCAGAGGGTGGCAGCCGGGCCGGGCAGTGAGAAGAGCCAGACGCCCCCTTCTGTAACCAAGGACGACCTCGGCTTCCTCCACCTTCGGCTCAAGCACGGAGTCCCAGGCGGCGGGACAGCCTCCTGAAGGAGCCGGTGGAACCTCTGCTTCCTGAAGACAAAGCCGCGTGTTTCCTGCCCGGAGGAGGCAGGACAACAGGAGGGAAAACCGCCCCCACGCCATGTTCAGTGTCCTACCTGGTCCCTTGCCCAGTCCCCAACAATTCCACATGAAAATGTCATTCAGAAAAGAAATCCACAAATTTAAAACCTGTGGGGGAAAAAAAAAGCAAAGCAGACCAGCCCTGCTGGAGGGAAAAGAGAAGGAAAAGCACAAAGTGAGCGAAGAAAAGGCAAGGCTGTGGGAGTGACGAGCTTTATACAACGAAGTAAGTCCATAACTGAACTCAGTAAGAAGGGCCCACAGTAGGATTCCTTCAGTGTTTTAGCTCCACTCCTTTCTTCTTTTTTTAAGAGGAAAAAAAAAAAAGTAACAAAAAAACTTTAAAAGCCTTCTCAAATAAGTTTAACACTTCAAAAAGTGTTTTTCGTAAAGATAAGTTCCAGGCACCATGTCTCTTTGGGATAGGGGAATTGCATATTGCAGTTTTAAAAAACCAAAACAACACATAAAACTTTATTTGCAAAAGAAAGGGGGAAAGGGGGGGGGGCTTTTTGATTTCTTTGAACGAAGCGCACACACAGCGTCTGGCTCCCTGGCTCCCAGGCTCCCTCGGGAGTGGCGGGAGCGGAGGACAGGCCGCGGAGACCTCCGAGGCCCAGGCTGGGAGACGCCGGCCACGCGGGCGGGCGGAGCAGGCCCACAGGTGATCTGTATTCCGGGTTGGCCCTCCGGAGTCTGGGAGTTTCAGCATCTCCAAGAATTCATTTATGTCCCACAGGGATGGAAAGGGGAGTCCTAAAGGAGGAATAAGCCAGGGGGTGGGGAGGGGGGATGACAAGCATGAGACCCATTCTGACTTCCAGCTGCTCGCACACCCTACCCCTCAGCAGGAGACTCCTACCTCTGTTACTTGTTGAACTGGAAAGAATAGACCCCGTGGTCTGAGGGAGCATCCAGGGTCACCTGGCTTTGCTGGCTGCTGTTCTCCTGTGACCACAGCCAAAGCAGAAGCGTCACCCGTGCCTCCTTACCTCCCCCGGCACTAAAGCAGCCACATAACCCGCCTGAGGGAGAGCCTTCCGACCTCCCACCCCACCGGGTCAGTGAGCCCGGGCCGCACACTGTCCCCCGCCCGCCCGCCCGCATCCCCTCCCCGGCACGCAGGGCGGCCTGTTCCCGGAAACTCTGGCCAGTACAGGCCAGGGTCCTGGCGTTCACTGTCTGCCCAATGTCAGGAAGGGCCTCGTTCAAGGACACAAACGAAGTCTTTCCTACAGTCTTCACATTCCTACCGGCTATTTGTGAACTCAGAACCAGCACCATTGCGAGAGGGAGGCCCGTCTCCCTCTGGGATGGGAAAGCTGCCTCTCTCGTTTTCATTTTCTTACCCCACCCCAGGGAGACAGCGCCCTCACCTCCACGGGCACGCCGGAAGGAGGCCCCGGCGGGAACTGGGAGAGGTAAGCGCTCTGCATGGCGGCCGCCGTCGGCAGGTACTGGAATGAGAAACACCAAAGGCTGAGCAGGTCCTGGCTGCACTGAGGGCGCCGGGGGAGCTTTAAAACTGCTGGTGGCTGCGTCCCACCCCCAGAGATATTAGTTTGTCTGATTTGCTTTTTAAAAATATGTTTTTATTGCCGAAACCAGTTTGGCTCAGTGGATAGAGTGTCGGCCTGTGGATTCAAGGGTCCCGGGTTTGATTCCGGTCAAGGGCATGTACCTTGGTTGCGGGCACATCCCCAGTAGGGCGTGTGCAAGAGACACTGATCAATGATTCTCTCTCATCGATGTTTCTAACTCTATCCCTCTTCCTCTCTGTAAAAAAATCAATAAAATATATATTTTTTAAAATACACACAACTTAAAAATGTTTTTATTGATTTGAGAGAGATAGAGAGAGAGAGAGAGAAAGAGAGAGAGAGAGAGATCCATTGGCTGCCTCAGGCACGCACCCTGATTGGGACTGAGCCCAACGTGTGCGTGTGCCCTGATCGGGAATCGAACTGGCCGCCTTTAGGTGCACAGGATGACACTCAACCAACTGAGCCCACCAGTGAGGGCTAATTGTCAAATTCCGTTGTGCTTTTTAAAAGCACTTCAGGCCGGGACCGGTTTGGCTTAATGGATAGAGCGTCAGCTTGGGGACTGAATGGTCCCGAGTTCAATTCTGGTCAAGGGCATGTACCTTGGTTGCGGGCATATCCCCAGTAGGGGGTGTGCAAGAGGCAGCTAATCAATGACTCTCTCATCCGGGTTTCTAATTCTCTATCTCTCTTCCTTCCTCTCTGTATAAAAATCAATAAAATATATATTTTAAAAGCACTTCAGGTGCTACACTGGCTTAGAGAGACTTATACACACCTGACTCCTTCTCTCCGCTTGCTTGCTTTCTGCCTTACCTCTCTGCCCGTAAGCCCTCCTGGGAAAGTCAGAAGGCAGCAGGCCTACAAGAAACCTACTGCGCTTCATCCATCCTTCTTGTTATTACTTTGATAAGGATTTCTAGGAAATGTGAGTGAACTCCTAGGTAAGCTAGTATGTGGACAGAAACACCATTTGCTTAGTTTCATGAGCAGAAATCACTTAACAGAAGTGGGCTTTGGAGCAGAATGGCTATCCTAGCTCACGATTATCTGTCAGGTTTAACGCCTATCCTGACTGTGCCCTCAGTGGTCCTGGAGCGATTCTCGTCATCATGAGTGTTTATTCTGGGAAGTATCGCACAGGTGTTCCTTCCCCAGGAGGAGCAGTCTGCTCACCGCGCCCGTGGAGCTGAGGGAGAGGTGGCCCAGCTGCTGGGTGAGCGGGCCCATCAGGGAGGCAGGCTGCAGGGAGAGGGGGTGGTCCATTCCTGGCGTCAGCACGGAGCCCTGGAGGCAGCGACAGAGGACAGGGTCAGTGGGCAGCGTTCTGGGGGGCTGCCTGCGGCAGTGACCCCTGGCTGCTGGAGCCGTTTAAGTTCCTGGAAAACGAGAGGTGACCAGCTACCCAGTTATGCAACAGGCGTAGGCACTCTGCCCGTCCGTCTGGATGGATCCCTGCCTAAGAACAGCACACTCACAGCACCGGGCTGCATAAGGGCTCGGCCAGAACTCACACCCACAGCCCCTCTCCTCAAACCCCAGTGTTTTTCTTTACATCAAATTGCCTCTTCGGCATCTGCCCGCTTCTGAACACTCACGGAAGGCTGTATGAGGTATGACTGGTGGTGCATCCACGACGGGGTAGGTACTTGTAGAGGAGATGTCTGAGCGACTCTCTAATCCAAGCAAAAACACACAAGCAAAAACGTTAATTATCGAGAAACCACTGTTTTGCCCAGTGATCTGACAATGTTCAGACAATCCCACAAAAGCTGGAGGCCCCCATCAGAAATAGAAACATTAATATAGAGAGAAGACTGACTGCCAGCAGAGGGAAGGGGGGGGGGGCTGGGTTAAAAAGGTGAAGACACAGACCACAGTAGGTGATTACCAGAGGGAAAGGCGGGTGGGGGGAGTAGGTGGGGTAAGCACACAATACAATATACAGATGATATATTATAGGATTGTACTACCTTTCAAACCTATAATTTTATTAACCAATGTCATCCCGATAAATTCAACTAAAGAATATATACACATATTGCTTTGGCCCTGGCCAGGTAGCTCAGTTGGTTAGAGCACAGTCCTGATACATCAAGGTTGCAGACTCGATTTCTGGTCAGAGCACATGCAAGATCAATCAATGAATGCAAAAGATAAAGATAAATATGTGTGTGTGTGTGTTAGAGGCCTTCCTCCCCCTGGCTGCTGGCACTGCCTTTGCTTTGGCTGGAACTGCCTTTCTGCTCTGGCCCAGAGCTGCCTTTCTGCCTTCCCATGCTGCTCAGAGGCCTGGAGTGGCTGGGGTGGTGCAGAATGCCTGCATCATTGCCATGGCGATGACACAAGTGTCCCACCCCACCTCCAGCAGCATGGCGCCTGTGTATGCAAATTAACCTGACATATTTGTTGGGTTAATTTGCATACTCACTCCTGATTGGCTGGTGGGGGTCACAAAGATACAGTCAATTAGCATGTTACTCTTTTATTTTTTTATATATATATAAAAAACATTATATATATATATATATATATATATATATATATATATATATCCTGTTCCCTGAAAATAAGACAGTGTCTTATATTAATTTTTGCTCCCAAAGATGCGCTAGGTCTTATTTTCAGGGGATGTCTTATTTTTCCATGAAGAAGAATACGGTACACATTTATTGTTAAATGAAAATAAAGGAAATTTATCACCTGTATACGGTACAGTAGTACGGTAGTTGTCAACACAAACCAGACAAACTGTGAATCCTACAGTATCAAGAATTTACTCATTTATTCAATGACAATCATGTCATCATCTTCTGGAACATCATCATAACAATCCAATTCCTGAATTTCTTGTGACTCCATTTCTTTCAGAATCAGTGGACCAAATCTCTCATGTTTAGCAACAGCATTCTGAGACAGAGCCTAGGGAGGGCCTTATTTTCGGGGAATGCCTTATATTTCACTCAGAAGGAAACCTATAAATAGGTCTTATTTTCGGAGGATGTCTTATTTTTGGGGAAACATGGTATATCTATATCTATATCTATATATCTATATATATCTATATCAATCTATTTATCTATCTATAACATATTAGATATATACCCTGTTTCCCCGAAAATAAGACAGTGTCTTATATAAATTTTTTTTCCCAAAGTTGCGCTAGGTCTTATTTTCAGGGGATGTCTTATCTTTTCATGCGCTAGGTCTTATTTTCGGAGAATGTCTTATTTTCGGGGAAACACACACACACACACACACATAGATATATATATATATATATATATATATATATATATATATATATAAAACATATTATATATATCTAATATGTTTTAAAGCATATTTTTATTTAAAACATATTTATATTTTTAAAGCATATATATATACATATACACATATATGTATATGTATATATATATGCTTTAACAACATAATAGAAACATTATGAGTAAACTTGTTTTTATAAAATTAGCAACTCTTACACCACAACAAATAACCCAGTTTAAAAATGGGCATCCTGGAGCTGAAGCCCTAACAGCTTAACCTCTGTGGGGGTTCAGAATGAGTCACCCAAGATGTGCCTCTGTGTGATGCAGATTATTTTGAGCTAAAGGCAGCTGAGGCTCTACAAGAGAAACTTGTGCCCCCACTTCCTCTCCCCCCCCCCCCCCCCCCCCCCCGGCTCTTCCTTTACTTAGAAGGACCTTCATTGGGCACCTTGCCCACAGTGAAAACTTATCAGAGATAACCGTTTCTGTCTACCTATTGGGCAGGGCAAACTACCAATTATTGAACACCTGTTCTTCTCACCCTTCTCCCCTCTGAAGCCCCCAAAGTGCCTTAGCCCATCCTTAGTGCAAAGTGCCATGTATACCTCATTCTAACTTTCCATCCCTGATTCTTTCATGTCTGTGAAGGTTGGCACCAGGGAAATCAGAACATAACCAATACTACTGTATTTTAAAAAATCTATTTTTAGTGATTTCAAAGAGGAAGGGAGAGGAGAGACAGAAATATCAATGATGAAAGCGAATCATTGATCAGCTGTCTCCTGCGTGCCTTACTATTGGGGTCAAGCCCACAACCCAGGCATGTGCCCTGACCAGGAATTGAACCATGACCTCCTGGTTTATAGGTCAACACTCAACCCCTGAGCCACACCAGTTGGGCATACTACTATATTTTTTTAAATTAAAAAACAAATTAAATAAAATAGTACTTGATTTTATATAAAGTTGAAAAAATAAGAATAAAAGTGGGCAAAGGATTTAAATATTTCTTTAAGAACATATACAAATGGCTAATAAGCACATGAAAGAGGCACCAAAATCATTCACCCCTAGGGAAATGTCAGTAAAAACACAACGAGATACCCCTGCACATCCGCTAGGGTGACTACAGTGAAAAGAACAAATAATGCTGGCCAGTGTGGCTTAGTTGGTTGGCGTGGTGATCATGGATCTCAGGTTTGATTCTGGGTCAGAGTACATACCCGGATTTAATCCCTGACCAGGGCTCCTTCAAAAGGCAGCCAATCAATATTCTCTCTCATATCAATGTCCCTCTCTCTCTTACTCTCTCTAAAATCAATGAATGCCCTGGCAGGAGCAGCTCAGTAGGCTGAACACTGTCCCACGCACTGAAAGGCTGCAGGTCTAATTCCCGGACAGGGCACATACCCAGGTTGCCGGCTTGATGCCCAGTCTGGGGTGCTGGTCTAATTCCCGGACAGGGCACATACCCAGGTTGCCGGCTTGATGCCCAGTCTGGGGTGCTGGCAGGAGGCAGTCGATCGATATTTCTCTTTCACATCGATGTTTCTCCCTCTCCCTTCCTCTCTCTTTAAAACCAATAAAATTAAAATCAATTTTTAGAAAATGACAATAAAAAATATAAAAAGGACAATAGCAAGTATTATGAACTGTAGGAGGGAACATAAAATGGTTCTGCAACTTTGGAAAACAGCTGGCAGTTCCTCAAATTAATAACTGATAAATCAATAACAAAGTGAGGTATCTGATTCAGTCATAAAAATGTATGAAGTCCCGATACATGCTACAACATGGACAAACTTTGAAAACATGCTAGCTGAAAGAAACCAGACACAGTATGTTGTATGCTTCCATTTACTATGAAAGTGTAGAACAGGCAAATCTACAGGCAGAGGAAGTGCATCAGTGGCTGCCAGGGGTTGGGTGGAAGGGAGAACAGGGAATGATACTAATGAGCAGTTTCTTCCTGAGGGGATGCAGGTGCCCTGGAATGAGGTATTGGTGATAGTTGTATAACTTTGTAAGTGTACCCCACACTACTGATTTGTACACTTTAAGAGGGTGACTTTATCGTATGTAGTATTATGATACATTTCTAACTTCTCATTGCTAATTTTTTCTCTTTTTTTGATTTAAGTTTTTTTTATTGATTAAGGTATCACATATTTGTCCTCATCCCCCAATTCCCATCCCAAACCCCTCCCCAGGTATGTCCCCACTCCCCTGTTGCCCTTAGTCAATTTTTTTCATTTTAAAACATCCTACCTAATAAAAGAGTAATATGCAAATCAACCATCACTCTCTTCCACAAGTCACACCCACCAACCATGCCCACTGGCCAATCAGAGCGAGTATGCAAATAAACCCAACCAAGATGGCTATAGCCACAGAGAGCAGGAGGGAGATGCTTCCCAGGCAAAGGAGGAAGCCAAGCTTTCCACCTGCCCTTGCCGGCCTAAGCCTCCACTCAGGGCCACCAAGTTTCAATTATAGAAGGTAAACAAATCCGAACAGAAACCGCTGATGCCACTGGGTGAGCAGGAGGCTTGGCTCTGCTCCAGGCTACAAAGTTTCAATTGTAGAAAGTAAATAATTCCCAGATACCAGGGCCTCCGTTTGGGTTGCTGAGTGGTGTGCCTGGCCTGCAGGCCCCTCACCCAGGCCACCCCACACCCCAAGGGAACCCCCACCCTGATCTGGGACACCCTTCAGGGCAAACCAGCTGGCCCTCACCCGTGCACCAGGCCTCTATCCTATCTAATAAAAGAGTAATATGCAGATTGACCATCACTCCAACACACAAGATGGCTGCCTCCATGTGGTCAAAGATCCTGCTCCCATGTGAACACAAGATGGCCAGCTGGGGAGGGCAGTTGGGAAGGACCAGGCCTGCAAGGGAGGGCAGTTGTGGGTGATCAGGCAAGTAGGGGAGGGCAGTTAGGAGGCACCAGGCCTACAAGGGAGAACACTTGAGAGGGACCAGGCCTGCAAGGGAGAGCAGTTGAAGACAATCAACCCTGCAGGGGAGGGCAGTTAAGGGTGACAAGACCAGCAGAGGAGGGAAATTGGGGGCAAACAGGCTGGCAGGGGAGCAGGTAGGCATCAATCAGGCTGGCAGGGGAGTGGTTAGGGGGTGATCAGGTCGGCAGGCAGAAGCAGTTAGGGGCAGTCAGGAAGGCAGGCAGGTGAGCAGTTGGGAGCCAGCAGTCCTGGATTGTGAGAGAGATGTTTGACTGCTCGTTTAGGCCCGATCCCAGTGGCAGTCAGACATCCCTCAAGGGGTCCCAGATTAGAGAGGGTGCAGGCTGGGCTGAGGGACAACGCCTCTCCCCCTCATCCCCCACCCCCATCCACGTGCATGAATTTTGTGCACTGAGCTTCTGGTATAATATAAATGTGAATTATATCTCAATTTTAAAATAAAAAAAAATTAGCAATGAGAAGTTAGAAATGCATCATAATAAACAGGTAGAGTTTATTTCATAAATATAAGGATTGCTCAAAATCAGAAGCACATTAAAAAATGCCAGTTCTCTGGCTCAGTGGATAGAAAACCGGCCTGCGGACTGAAGGGCCCTGGATTCCATTCCGGTCAAGGGCACGAACTTTGGTTCCAGGCTCCGTTGGGGGCCCTGGTTGGGGAGTGTGTGGGAGGCAACTAACTGATTTGTCTCTCCCTCGCCCTTCCACTCTCTCTAAAAATCAATGGGAAAATATCCTCAAGTGAGGATTAATAAAACAAACAAAAAAATCAACTATTTTAGAGAGATTTTTTAAAAAATATATTTTTTATTGATTTTGTACAGAGAGGAAGGGAGAAAGATAGAGAGCTAGAAACATCGATGAGAGAGAATCATCGATCAGCTGCCTCTTGCACACCCTCCACTGGGGATGTGCCCGCAACCAAGGTACATGCCCTTGACTGGAATCGAACCCGGGACCCTTCAGTCCGCAGGCCAACTCTCTATCCACTGAGCCAAACCGGTTTCAGCTATTTTAGAGAGATTTAATGTAACTCCAATTACATTAAATCTCTTTTATGTAATTGGTGCTTTGCAACCTCACAGATTTTAAAAATTAGATAAAGTGACCATAAACTTTATACAGAAGAATAAATACCAAAAATAGCAAAGTTTGAGAAAGAATGGAGAAGATTTTGTCTTATCAAACATTAGAGCATATTATGAAAGCCACTGCGATCAAATCCATACATTCTTGGAAACAATGATCGCTGGGAGAGAATAAATTCCAGTATTTATTATAGAGAAATGTGACATTTCGATTCAGTGGAAAACGAATGGATTATTTAATAATTTGATGGTAGGACGGCTGGTTAACATTTTGAAAGAAAATATATTGCAAGAGGACCCCTATTTTCTACCATATACAAAAATAAATTCCTGATGATTACACATTTACATATAAAACAATAAAATGAATCTTGGAGACCATATTCACAATATAGGACTAGGTAGAGCTTTTGAATGAAGGCAAGAAATAAAAGTTATAAGTGAAAAAGCAGCATATTTAACTACATACAAATTTTAAACTCCTGTGTGGCAAAAACTGGTGATTCCCAACACATGGTCCTTGGACCAGCAGCAGCAGCAGCAGCAGCCTCTGGGAACTTGTTAGGAATACAGATTCTTACCTCCCCCCAACACTTACTTAGTCAGAAAGTGCTGTCTGTGCCCAGGAGCCTAGGTTTAACAAGCTCCTCAGGTGATTCTGATGCACAGCTAAAAAGTTTGAGGACCACAAAGTCAATGGACAAAATTAAATTAGGAAAAAAAAAATCTGTAACAAATAACATTCAGAGGATCAATACTTATACAAATGGTTATTATACGTTGATGAGAAAGGAATAACTAATCAAACAGAAAAATGGGCTAAGCATATCAGAGAACAGCAAATCAAAATAAGACAAACACTAAGCTGCAGTCAGGGAAGTACAAATTAAAGATTAATGTACTTTCCATCAAGACAAGAGAATTTTTAAAAAAGCAACGGCTGGAGGGAAACAGGTACTCTCATTCACCGTGACTGGAAGCATGCATTGATACAGCCCTTGTGAAAAGCAATCTGGGGACATTTATGAAACGAAAAGTCCATAAATTCAAACTAGCAATTGTATTCCTCAGACTCCAGTCCCTATAAATAAAGGCACTCATAGGTGAAATAGAGCACAAGGTGTTTAGTCACAAGGATGCTTATCGAAGTGTTATTTGTACCAAAAACAAACAAACAAAAACCCAACAACATTGAAATCCAAGTGAATGACCTTCACTGGGGTATAGATGAGGAATTCTGGTGTATCTCCAGCATGAAATATAATGCAGCTATTAGAAAAGGAAATGATTAGAACAGAGATATCATCATTAGTGGCATCAGAATCACCCAGACGGCTTCTGAGAATCACTCAGATTGCTGGGGCCCATCACCATTTTCTAATTCAGTAGATCTGGGGGGGAGTCCAGAATTTGTGTTTCTAAAAATTCCCAGGTGGTGCTGACACTGCTGGTCTAGCAACTGCACTTTGAGAATCACTGGTTTAAGATACTATTAAGTAAGAAGAGTAAAGTATGAAAAATATATTTGATATGATCAACTTCTTTGTAAAATAATGGCTTCCAAAAACCATATACATATGTATCTATGCCCATGAAGAAAAACATAGAAAACATTAGGAAATTAACATGGATTTACTTGTGGGGTAGTAGACAGAGAGTAAGAGGATGCTTTTACACTAGTCTACATGTAAGTAGTGTGATCACATGTTACACTTTTGTGTAATGTTATTTGTGGCAATACATACAAAGGAAAAACAAACAAAACAACAAATACTTTCCAGCATTATATTCCTTTACCTAAAACACAAGGTCAGGGAAAATCACTGCACCTTTTGGGCATGTACATACCTGATAGGAAGACACAGGAGACGGCAGGTATGGGGAGAGTGCAGACTGAGTGAGCATCCTGTTGGGAGTGATGTTATAAGGAGCTGGGTAGAACCTGCAGGAAGGAACCTCATCAGTGAGGAGCCATAGGCAATCAGGAAGAAAGGGCCCCCACTGATAGACACAGCCACTTCCCACAGATGACCTCAAGATGAAACATCTGGACACAGGCTATTGTCATTATGAGTTGGCCTGAATATATAAAACACCCTTACCCATTCTGAAGAGCTGTGGAGGGGTCATAAGTCAAGGCCACACCACCCTATAAAGAAAGTACACAGCAGTCATACTGTAAGCCCCTGAATAAGAATAGGAGCAAGGAGAAACCAAGATGGCGACATAGGTAAACATCTGAAATTGCTGCCTCCCATGACCACTTCAAAACTACAACTAAGCCGAAACCGGTTTGGCTCAGTGGATAGAGCATCAGCCTGCGGACTGAAAGGTCCTGGGTTCGATTCCAGTCAAGGGCATGTACCTTGGTTGCAGGCACATCCCCAGTGGGGGGGGGGGGTGCAAGAAGCAGCTGATCAATGTTCTCTCTCATCGATGTTTCTAGCTCTCTATCCCTCTCTCTTCCTCTCTGTAAAAAATCAATAAAATATATTAAAAAAAACAAAAACAAAAAAACAACTAAAAGACAAAACTGACATCATCTGGAACCACAGCAAGGCTGGCTGAGTGGAAATTATACAACTAGAAGGGAAGAGAAAAGCACCCTGAGACCCAGAGGAGCTGTGGAAGTAAAGTGCAGAGGTATGGAGGCGCGTGTGCATGCGAAGAGGGCTGGCAACTGAGCATATGGCTGGCTTTTTCAATCTGCAAGTAGACACGGGCTCCCAATTGCTCTGAACTCCAGTTCCGGACGAGACTATGGGGACCCAGGCTCATATGCGGAGAAACTGGACTGTCTGGCAGTGAGTGGAACTCAAGGGCAGCTTTCTCTCAGAGGTGCTTACAGCGATTACTGAGGGACTCTGAGACCTGGGGGCCTCTTAGGGCAGGACTGAGGGTCAGCCATAGCTGTTTGCTCCGCCCTGAGACCCTGCCCCATCCAAGCTGTGTGCAGAGGCTTTTGCATATGAATGGCCTGGTGCTTTGCAACTTAAAATTACCTAACAAACTGCAGCTGAGTCAGAGAGCCCCAGAGCCTCTGAAAGAAGGCCCAAGGACCCACAGCAGCTTTCATTGCTTCACAGTTGGGCCTTATTTGGGCACCTCCAAACCCCAAACAAAGAAGAGGAATCTGTAGATCTTTTCATAGCTCCTGCTGGGTGGCCTCAGGCAGAGGCTAAATTTGAACCTCCTTGGATCTCCCAGTGGTCAAAGTGAAACCATCCAGATTACAACTCCTCAGATCCATAAGGGACACACTCAGGGGGCAGACTCAGTGAGCGTCAAAGCCCCATTGAAGCAAGTCTTGCCCCATAAGGGTGTCTCCAGCACAGAAGTTCTCCCATCATAGACACAGCTGATCCTCACAGCCAACTGGCCTGGAGGTCAATTCCTCCCAGTGATACCAACAACAACCAAGGCTTAACTACAACAAACTGAGCACACAGCCCACAAAGGAGTGCACCAAGAGTGTCCACCTCAGGTAACTGGGGAGGCTGAGCCACTGGGCCCTATAGGACACCTAGCACACAAAGTCACTCTATCAACTCAGGGAAGCAGCCAAAATGTGGAGACAAAGAAACAGTTCACAAATGAAAGAAATGGAGGAAAGCAAACTACTGGATATAGAATTCAAAACCACGGTTATAAGGTTTTTCAAGAATTTTCTGGAAACCGCTGATAAATTTAGTGAGACCCTCGAGGATATGAAAAAGGATGAACTGGAAATTAAGCATACATTGACTGAAATAAAAAATAATATACAGAGATCCAACAGCAAACTAGAGGATCGCAAGACTCAAGTCAAATATTTGAAATACCAAGAAGCAAAAATCACCCAACTAGAAAAGCAAAAAGAAAAAAGAATCCAAAAATATGAAGTGTAAGGAGCCTCTAGGACTACTTCAAGCATACCAACATCCAAATTATGGAGGTGCCAGAAGAAGAGAGAGAGCAAGATATTGAAACCTATTTGAAGAAATAACCAAAAACTTCCCCTACCTAGTGAAAGAAATAGACTTACAAGTCCAGGAAGCACAGAGAACCCTGAACAAAAGGAATCCAAAGAGGACCACACCAAGACACATCATAATTAAAATGCCAAGAGCAAAAGACAAAGAGAGTATATTAAAAGCAGCAAGAAAAAAACTGTTACCTATAAGGGAACACCCATATGATTGTCAGCTGATTTCTCAACAGAAACTATACAGGCCAGATGGGAGTGGCAAGAAATATTCAAAGTGATAAACAGCAAGAACCTACAACCAAGATTACTTACCCAGCAAAGCTATCATTCAGAATTGAAGGTTAGATAAAGAGCTTCACAGATAAGAAAAAGCTAAAGGAGTTCATCACTGCCAAAAGTACTATATGAAATGCTGAAAGGTATTCTTCAAGAAGAGGAAGAAGAAGAAAAAGGTAAAGATAAAAATAAAAATATGGACAACAAAGTGACAACAAATACAGATCTGTCAACAAGTGAATCTAAAAATCAAGTGAATAAACTGGAGAATTGAATCAGGGGCATAGAAATGGAGTGGAATGACAATTCTCAGGGGGAAGGGGGTTTAGGGGGTATGGAAAGAGACTGGATAAAAATTGTACATCTATGGATGAAGACAGTAGGGGAGGGGGGTAAGGGCAGAAGGTGGGGTGGGAACCGGGTGGAGGGGAGCTATGGGGGGAAAAAAGAGGAACAATTGTAATAATATGAACAATAAAGATTTATTTAAAAAAAAAAGAAAAAAGAGTAGGAGCAAGGCCAGAATGTCAAGGGTGGGAATGAGTAAAGTGAAGTCTGGACAGCCCAGCCCATGTGGTTCAGCAGTTAAGCATCAACCCAGGAACCAAGTGGTCACTGGTTTGATTCCTAGTCAGGGCACATGCCCTGTTTCAGGCTTGATCCCAGTAGGGGACATGCAGGAGGCAGCCAATCAGTGATGTTCCTCTCTCATCAATGTTTCTCTCTATATATACCTTTCTATTCCTCTCTCTCTAAAAAAAAAAAAAAAAAAAAAAAATTAAGTGAAGTCTGGTCAAGCTGTTCTAGAGTTTTTCTGGTTGTGCAGGCTGCAAAATCCCACTCAAGACCCACACTGAAGAGCATGTTAGTATTCAGCTCCTCAGTTACAAACTGTAGCTCTCAAACTTGCCATCTAAGCCCACAGCAATCAGGCCATGGTAATTTCCATTCCATTTTAATGTCCTCAGAGGTCCTCTTACCATGTCTCCATTCCTTGGCCAGGCCCGTCCATTCTGCACAAATTTTCCTGGATTCTGTCTTTTCTTTGGACCACCATCAGCGAATTTGCAAAGCAACGGATCTGATGGGGCTACCAAGAGAGAAAGCAGACAGGTGACTGAGTCCCACCTCCCTTACCTCACTCACACTCACGCAAAACTCCTCCCGATCTTCCCTGCAAGTAACACCTGTGGCCCTGTCAGCCCGATTCCCAGATGCCTCACCTGGCACTCCAGGGGGTGTCTTAATATATTTTCCGTTAAAGTGGGTGATGATGGCTTCACACTTCTCTGTGGATTCCATCCTGAGGAGCACAAGAGGGGTTAGGCTCTAGCTTCTCCAGGATCTGAGTGCTCCCTCCGATAAAAAAGAATGCCCCAGTCCCTCGTCCCACTGATGCCCTAACGGTTGTGACTACAAAACACAGGTTTCCTCCACACAAATTCAAGATATTAAGAAGAGGCAATCCCAGCTTCTAACGAAGGTTCTCTCATCTGGTTCCCAGAGGAGTCCTGAGAGGAACATGGAGGTCTTTGAGCTACGAATACATGTTCCAGGCAGATACTGATGGCTGGGCCTACGATTGTGTCTGGTTCATAAAGAAGAACACAATAAACAGAGGCTGTTACTATGACTTTTTTATTACAAACTTCCAATGGAAATTGTTCCCTCATTCTGATAAAACTTCACAAGCTAAGAATTTTCCAATATTTATTTTTGCTTCTGGTTACTTATCAAGGTATAATTAGCTATTCATTAAAGTTTCATGCGTCTGTGGGAGGAAACAGTAATAAGACAGGTTGAGGGCCCACAGTGATAGGAAAAACAATGGGAACTATGTGAGTTGAAGTATCTTGCTGGGGAAAGAGGACAGAACATCTAGACTCCAGCTCCTGTTCATCTCCCAAAGCTCTATGGGTTTGGCCAGTGGTTGGCAAACTCATTAGTCAAGAGAGCCAAATGTCATTAGTACAACGATTGAAATTTCTTTCGAGAGCCAAATTTTTTAAAACTTAAACTTCTTCTAATGCCACTTCTTCAAAATAAGCTCACCCGGGCCGTGGCATTTTGTGGAAGAGCCACACTCAAGGGACCAAAGAGCCGCATGCGGCTCGCGAGCCGCAGTTTGATGACCACGGGGTTAGGCCATTCACAAAACCCCTTTGAATCATTTCCGCTTTAGAGGAATGATCCATCTACCCTACCACACAGGATTGTACAGATCGAATAAGATAATATATCTAAATGTGTCCTAAGAATTGTAAGGGCCCCATAAAATACAAGGTACAGTATCCTGCCCTCTTTCCGTAAAGTCTCACTGTATTTTCCATGCCAATAGCCACTAAAAGCATAAACCATTCCCATGACGGTGGTCAGTATAAAAGGCCTCAAATGGAATGTGTTAGAGAAAACCACGTTAGGTATCCTAGAGCAGAAGTCTTCAGCGGGGTTACTCCTATTCCTTAGGCTTAAGGTTTCATGAGTCTGTAGGAGGAAACAGCAATAGACAGGGTTAGGGCCAAAGCGATAGAAAAAGGGCGCGCAGGCACAGAGTTTCAAGAGAATCACTTCCAGAACCTCAACATTCTTGTAAACTTTTTCCTAAAACTGACCTGCCTGGGGGACGGGTCATGATCAGTAATGACCAAAGCTCACGCCCCCTCTCACAGTCACTCCTCTTAATTTCCTTCACACGCTCCCCAAACTCAAAATAAGGCAGTGGTAAATGAGTTACAATATTTTTTTTTTTTTTTTTTTTTGTATGTCAGACACTCTCATAAGCTGGAGGACTCTGCAAATTATCAATTGACACATTTAAAAAAATCAATTTTGTTGATAGATTACTCTGGTTCTTGGCAAAGGATTCAAAATGAATTCACAGAATCCCTATTTTAATAAATCTCTTCTAATCTCCACCCTGGCCGGTGTGGCTCAGCTGCTTGGGTGCTGCCCCATGCACTGAAAGGCTGCTGGTTTGATTCTCAGGGCATAGAGTGTCGACCTGCAGACTGAAGGGATTGAAGGGTCCTGGGTTCGATTCTGGTCAAGGGCACATGCCCTGGTTATGGGCTCGATTCCCTGTAGGAGGCATGCAGGAGGCAGCTGATTGAGTCTCTCTCTGCATTGATGTTTCTATCTTTTTTCCACTCTCCCTCCTCTTTGAAATCAATTTAAAGAAGAAGAAGCCGAAGCGGTTTGGCTCAGTGGTAGAGCGTTGGTCTGCGGACTGAAAGGTCTCAGGTTCAATTCCGGTCAAGGGCATGTACATTGGTTGCGGGCACATTCCTGGTAGGGGGTGTGCAAGAGGCAGCTGGTCGATGTTTCTCTCTCATCGGCATCTCTAGCTCTCTATCCCTCTCTCCTCTCTGTAAAAAATCAATAAAATATATTTAAAAGAAGAAGAAGAAGAAGACGACGACGACGACGACGACGACGAAGAAGAAGAAGAAGAAGAAGAAGAAGAAGAAGAAGAAGAAAGCAGAACCATTTCCTAAATAGGACAGGGGAAGCTGGTGCCCTCCACCAATGACACCTACTCTGGAGAGCTCAGCAGCGCTAGGGAACACCACAGGAAAATCACTCATCGAAATCAATCTCCGCAGCCCAGCTGGCAAGGCTCAGTGGCTGAGTGTTGACCTATGAACTAGGAGGTCACGGTTTGATTCCTGGTCAGGGCACCTACCGGGGTTGCGGCCTCCATCCCCAGTGGGGGGCATGTAGGAGGCAGTCGATCAATGATTTTCTCTCATCATTGATGTTCTATCTCTTTCTCCCTCTCCCTTCCTCTCTGAAGTCAATTAAAAAATATATTTAAAAATAATGAATCCATCTCCAGAGTCGACCAAGACTCATAAAGGTCTGCTATCAGGTGGACAGTGAGTGGCAGAGCTGGTTCCAGAATCTAGGTCTCTCCACAGATCTGAAGGTAGCTCTTCCACGTCATCCTAACTGACCTGGAGGCCAGCAGTATTGGGGCTCTGCTTCTCCCACCCACTCCTGGGACCCCGGGGACAAGTCACTTCATCTTGGGAACTTTGGTTTCCTTACCTACAACACGGGGAGCTCACATTTCACGGGGCTGTAGTGATGACTAAATGAGACAATAAGAAGATATGGAACACTTGCTTCATGGGCTTGTACAGCACCAGTGACATTAAGTCTATTAGAAGATGCAGAATTATTTTATTCTGCTTGGGTCTGGAGCAAAGGAATAAAGGCTAGAAAAGCAGAAAGTAGTGGGGAAAGGACAAGGACTAGGGGCTTGAACTTTTTAGTATTGTGACCTACAATTAAATAAACTTGATTTTCTATTGATAGGGAGGACCTATCATCTGATAGAGAGCACCTGAATCTGAAAGATAATCATATTATTTTAAATCTTAGAACACATATACTTATTAGTATGTGAATAGGGGGTTACATTTCTTATATGTGATTAAGGGGCTTTAGGGGGTTAAGTTTTTCTTAAGTTTCCTTTTCAATGCTTGTGTAAAGTGATCAGGGAGGTGACTCAGCTGTGAATCTGGCAAGCAGAACCAATAAGCATGGTCAGGCTAACCCATCAGGAGTCAAAACATCACCTCATCGCCTGATGACTAACCGATAATAGCTGACGTCCATTCCTGGCTTCACCCTCGCCCCTTCCCCTACATAACCCTGTCCCCTGCACCGTGCTAGGAGGCGAGATCTGATGCTGGTGAGCACCCTGTCTTCTTGTTGGCTCACCTTCTCAGCAAACGCCCCATATGATTCACCCTGACACGGTGACAGGCAGCCGGAACTTCCCGGTAACACCACCAATGGACGTTTCCCTTGTGGGCAAGGGGGGCACGGCTCTGTGACGTTCTTCATTAACCACGTCAGTCCCCACGCTGGGCACCCCTCACCTCGCAAAGCCGACCCCTCTGCTGGCCCCACTGGTGTCTCGGAGGATCCGAGTGGAGATCACTTGGCCAAAGGGCTTCAGCATTCCCTCCAGCTCTTGCTCATCCATCGACAGCGGGAGGTTTGATATGTATAAATTTGTGGGGTCCTGCTCCTGTTGCTAGGGAAATAAGAGAGAGAAAATGAAGCGCAACATCTCAGCCTTCGTCCACAAAATAGTATCTCAGAAAAAAAGGTAACAGGAAGGCCCCACATAAACAAAGCCAATCTTAACTGTTTGTCACAAACCCCTAGTCCTACTACCATGGTTGTATATTGAGCCCAAATCCCACCCCCAAAGAGAGAGAGAGAGAGAGAGAGAGAGAGAGAGAGAGAGAGAGAGAGAGAGAAGAGAGATTGAGAGAGAGAGGGAGGGAGAGAGAAAGCCAATTCAATATCATTAGTACCGTACAAGCCCCTAATACCAGTCTTTGATAAAGTGCTGGCTGTCGCTTTAAGAACTTGGCAGAGCAGCACTCCTCCTCCCCAGCAGCCGGTCCCAGAGGCTGGATTCCCTTGGACCGCCTTGTTCGCCCGGCTGGATTGTTTTGAGTAATCCTCCCCCCCCCCCGCCCCCCTTTCCGGCCACAGCAGACTCCTCGGAGCAGGAATGCCTGCTCATTCCCGGAGGAGGGAAAGCGGGAAAGCAGGGAGAGGGGAGAGGGGAGGAGGAGGACGGGAGGCAATGTGCTGGGGCTGCACAGAGGGCCACACGGTCGCCCCTGGTCCCCGGGAGGGAAAGCTCTGTCTCACAGGGGCTCTGCAGAGTCCCACACCCGCCGTCAGGCTTTTCTGCAGGAGGAAGAGGCGGGAGAGCCCTGCTGCAGAGCGTAGGCAGGGGCACCGCCTCCCATAGCTGCGTTTTTAAGAGTTGAAGCAGCCACTCTGCTCTGGATTGTGGGTCACAACAACTCAGTCCCTCTCCGGCCGTTCCCTTTGGGCCTCCCGTTGTCTTTCATTATAGGAAAGGGTGGCTGCAGCCTGGCCTCATCAGCACCACCCAGGATTCACAGCGACCTCAGACAGGCCAGGGGCAGCGCCACCCGAGAGCACGCGGATTCCTAGTCCCAGATGGAAGGAGAAGCTCCAGGCGGATCTGAGGAGGAAGGTCTCCTTCCCCCCACGCCCCACCACAGAGCCACCCGCCCAGGGAGCAGCGCTGGGAGGCGGAACGCATTGTTCGGAATGCTGAGATGCACAACTGGCTTCTTCAGAGAATGTTGCAAAACTCCCACAAGCTGTGTGGTAGGGAGTGCGGAACCGGGTGGGGATGGGGAGACGGGGAGACGTGGGAGGAAGGGACCTCCTGCCTGCCTATAATCCTGGACAGAGCTGCCTGCCCGTCTTCCTCCAGCAGCCCAGGGGTGCTAACGGGTCCCTAGCCCAGACTGCCTGTGGCCAGACAGAGTGACAGATCCCTGCAGGGGGCCTTTGCCCGTCAGCACCAGGGCTCTCAGGCCCTGGAAACCTTGGAAGTGAGTCTCGTGCTCACCACAACCCCTTGGAGGGAAAGACCCGGGCAGCACCCTCCCTTACCTTTGCCATCTGTGCCTGGACACCACTGGCCTTCAGTGCTGTCACGGCCTTCTGCGCGGCTGAAGGGCTGTCAAAGTCCACAAAGCCGTAGCCTGGAATGGAAGCAGCATCAGTTGCGGGGGGGAGGGGGAGGGGGGGAGGGTTTAGGAGGCCCTGGCTCTTCAGGGGCAGAGGAAGGTTCTGACCCAGGTAACCGAAGTGGTAGGGAGGTTTCAGGTATGTCTTTATTGATTTCTGAGAGGAAGGGAGAGGGAGAGAGAGAAATATCAATGATGAGAGAGAATCATCACATGATTAGCTGCCTCCTGCACACCTCCTGCTGGGGACGGAGCCCCAAACCCGGGCATGTGCCCTGACCGGGAATGGAACCCATGACCTCTTGGTTCAAGGCTTAACATACAACCACTGAGCCACACATTGCTGGGCAATTTCGGTTTCCGTAAAGCTCAGCGTGCTCAGGGCAATGAGGTCCTTGTGTCCTTGGCTTTCTCCCGCTCTCAACAAAGATGAGGTTACAGGGAGGAGGCTCCTCTAATAATCCACAGCACCCGGCTCTGGCTTCTTAAACTAACACCCTTCCTCTCTTCTAGCCACACCCCAGGTTGCTAGGCATGGGAATACAGCCTCTTTTTAAAAATTATATAGTCTTATTGATTTCAGAGAGAAAGAGAAAGGGAGAGAGAGAAAAACATCAATGATCAGAGTGAGTCATTGGTTGGCTGCTTCCTACACACCCCCTACTGGGGATCGAGCCCACAACCCAAGCATATGCCCTGGTGGGGAATCAAACCGTGACCTCCTAGTTCATAGGCGGATGCTCAACCACTGAGCCACATGGGCCAGGTGTGAGTACAGCCTCTTCATGGCAGATAACCACGAAGAAGCCATTCTCCACTTCAACCTTCACACCTTTCCTCTCCTACAATTTTTACACCTCCACCTAAAATTGCTCAAAACCCATCAGAACTATTAATCCTCCCCAAAGAATACCTACCGAGTCATCCGCCCCACCACCACCACCAGAAAGCATTTACAATGCTTTGCTGAAGGGAAATAATCACTCCTACCCATAAACACCACCCCATCCAGGGGAACATGAGGGTCTAAGTAAGCCCAAGGGACCCCAAGACTTTTGTGCACACTTCTAGCCTTAGGCCCCCAAAATAGCATCTGCAGCTCTAGCTTTCTGGTCACCAAAGAGTCTAAATATCTGCTAGTCTTAAAACACTCTTAATGGTTGATTTTTAGAGAGAGAGAGAGAGAGAGTGGGAAGAGAGGGAGGAAGAGAGAAATATGGGTTTGCTGTTCCACTTATTTATGCATACATTGGTTAACTCTTGTATGTGCCCTGACCGGGAATCAAACTGGCAACCTTGGCCTATCAGGACGATGCTCTAACCAACTGAGCTACCTGGCTAGGGCTCTGCTGGTCTTTTAAGTCTGAACACCTCTCAGATTCCTCTCTGGTCTTGGGTACTAGGGACTTGCAGCAGTAAAGGGCAGAGACGAGGGATGGGCTCACTGGCAGCTGCTCTCCATCACCGAGGACAGCTCTCTCTCACCTTTGCATTTGTTTGTGGTCTTGTCCAATATGGCCTTCGTGGAGACGATCTTGCCATAGCTAAGGGAGAAGAAAACGCAAAGTGATCATCGGGGGCAGGTGTGTAGGAAAGGACAGAGAATGAGACATCTGGATGAACCCAGGCCCTTCTCCACTCCCACTACGACAACCGATCCTACCCAAGCCTTAATAACAGGAAAGAGAAGATGCATTTAAAATGTGAGACTTGGGGAGAATCCAAGATGGCTGCACAGGTAAACACCTAGCCGCAGCCGCACACAACAATTTCAATAAAATACAACTAAAATATAAAATGGACATTACCCAGAACTACAGGAAAGTCGACTGACTGGAAATTCTACAGCGAGAAGCAAGGAGAAAACCAGAAGGAAGCGCGGAGGAGCTGTAAAAGCCTGAAGTACGGACACACGGTGCGCGGAGAGGACGGAGCCGGAGAGGAGGGGCGGGGCGGCTGAATGCCTGGCTGGCTTTCCCTAGCGGGAAGGAGATAAAAGCTCTGACTGTGCTGGGCCCCAGTTCTGACTGCTCTGAACCCCAGTTCTAGGGAACCCAGGCTCATCCATAGGGAGCTGGGCTGTAAGGCGGAACCCCGGGGGAGCAGCGAAAGGAGGTCCCGGAGGCGCGCAGCTACCCAGCAAAGCTATCACTCAGAATCGAAGGCCAGATAAAGAGCTTCACTAATAAAAAAAAAAGCTAAAGGAGTTCATCACCACCAAACCAGAATTATATGAATTGCTGAAGGGGGTTCTTCGGAAGAGAAAGTAAATAGAGATAAAAATTATGAACAACAAATATGTAACTATCAACAAGTGAATCTAAAAACCAAGGAAATTAAAAAAAAATCTGATGAACAATATTAACTGTTGAATATAATAGAATCAGAGGTATGGAAGGGGAGTGAACTGACGATTCTTGGGGAAAAGGGGATAGGAAGATGTGGGAAGAGACTGAACATAAACTGTGCACCTATGGATGAGGACAATGGGGGGTGGAGAAGAGGCAGAGGGTGGGGTGGGAACCTGGTGGAGGAGAGCAATGGATGGGGGGGGGAAGGAACATTTGTAATAACATGAACAATAAAAATTTATTAAATAAATAAATAAATAAATAAAAGGAAGAAAAATAAATAAATAAAATGTGAGACTTATCATAGAGCGCCTAATTCCCAAAGGTACCCACAAGAAATAAGGCAATGTAGTCCAACACACTTCTCTCTTCTTCTCCATCTAAGACTCAGACACTGGTTAGAAAGAGATCACTGTCTTCCCAGGAGAGAAGTTTGGCAACACACACGTTGCAGGAACTTCTAAGAACTAAAAGCAATCCTTGATGTTACTTATCCTCTTTTGGACAAACACAGTTCCTCCTGTGAAAAACCTACAGTTATCTCCTCTGATACCCAGTTCCCTATCCCTCTGCTGATCGAAGGCCAACCTAAACCGGATTTCTTATGCTCAGATCCTGGTTCTGCCTCTTTGAAGCTACGTGTGATCTTGGACAAGCCATTTAACCTTTCTGTGCCTCAGTCTCACCGTCTGTAAAACAGAAATAGGACTGTTGGGAACAGGAAATGAGTTCATGAATATGGCAAACACGTAAAAACTCTTAACTGCTGTCACTGTTATTGTATTCAAGTGACCTCAACTTTAATCTACTGCAATGGCTCTCCTGCTTTACCGTGTTCTAAAACTTCTATTTCTCATTGTCAAGATTTGAGTGTGTTAGGAGGGAATGGGCACACGACCAGGTGAGAAAATTATTCAGTCCTGGTCGGTTTGGCTCAGTGGAAATAGCATCGGTTTATGGACTGAAGGGTCCCTGGGTTTGATCTGGTCGAGGGCATGTACCTTGGTTGCAGGCTCATTACCCAGCCCTGATAGGGGTGTGTGCAAAGGCAACCAATCGATGTGTCTCTCTCACATTGATGTTTCTCTGTCTGTCTGTCTGTCTGTCTCTTTCCCTTCCATTCTTTCTAAAAATCAATAGAAAAATATCCTCAGGTGAGGATTAACAAAAAAAAAAAAAAAAAAAAAAAAAGGAAAGAAAATTATCCAAAATTTGATGATGAGGCAAAATGATTGCATATCCTTTCAACATCATTCTGGAATATTGTCTAAAAGGCCCACTCAAGCCCAGCTGCCATAGCTCAGTGCAGTGGTTGAGCATCAACCTAAGAACCAGGGGATCACAAGTTTGATTCCCAGTCAGAGCACCGCCCAGTTCTATGGGCTCACTTTCCAGTGGAGAGTCATGCAGGAAGCAGCCCATCCATGATTCTCTCTCATCACTGATGTTTCTATCTCCCTCCCTCTCCCTTCCTCTCTGAATTCAATAAAAATACATATTAAAAAAAAATACAATAAAAGGCCCACCCAAGGTATATTTCATCACCGAATGAGTTGCTTCATTTACTGTTTACTGCTGATGGGGGCCCAGGCTCAGTGAGGATGCATACTGACTGTGGATGTTTATCCAGAGATATGCAAATAGTTTCTGTCCAGCAGGAAAGAAAGTCCCAACGGTCCCTGCTTTATTGTTCTCTGGGATATGTGACCCAGCAATCTTACGCCACCGTCCTTTTTTCAGGACTTGAAAATACGCGGCCCCTCAGATGCTTTTGGAACTCGTTTTACCATCCTGCTGGCTCCCTCACCACTGACGGGAGTAAATCTTTGGCATGTGTCCGCCTCTATTTACAGGACAGTCATGTTCTCAGCATTCTGGAAGAGCACGCTTTGGCAGCAGAGCGGGGTGTCCCACGTCGGGGATTAGACGAGACGCGTCCCACTAGAAAAGTCTCTCCGTCCCACTCCAGGCAGGTAAGAATATTAAAGAGGGAACAGATAAGACTAGCAAAGTTACAAGTATGAGATTTAACTAAAAATGCTTCTCCGGGACTGACTGTAAGACCAGTATCCCGAAGGAGCGTTTTCCTGCCCCTCTTCCCGTCCCTGAAGCTCGCAGGATGTGGATGTGTTTGTCCCGCCCCTTGGCCACCTCTCACTGACTGTTTTACTGGAACCAATGGGTTAGGAAGAATAAGCTAAGCAATGCCCTGGAGGCCGGGAAAAGAACACATTAAAATGGGGCGGGGGGGGGGTGATCCTAGCTCTTCAGGACTACATACTTGGATTCTTTCCCAAATTTAGGCAAAGGAAGAGCTGCATGAGACTAGGCCAGAGGACACGCATGCTGCTATCCCTGCGGAGGCCCCAGGGTGGAGCTGGCTGTGGTCTGAGAGCCGGAGGCTGAGCTCAGACTTTCCAGGCAGCTGGCAGCCTGAGCCACTCCTGCCGCTTCCTCCTCAGACGGAGCCCCTCCAGGAGCACCCGAGCTCCAGTCCGGACTCCACGCCGCTCTCCTTCCCACCCTCCAGGGCTCAGGAGCCGCCGCTTGTACTTCCCCTGCAGCCTGAGAGAGACAACTGGGACAAAGGCAGGACGTCCTTCTGCGCTTGGGAAACACCCTTCCCAGAAAGGTCTAACAGCGCACAGCGCCCGCCCCTGCTCTTCCCAGCCTCCCTTCCTCATCACTCAGCCAGCACCCTGCTGCCCCTGCCCCCTTGCCACTTCTCCACAGTCCCCTCCGGACTCCTCAGTGCCGTCCTCCATGCTGACCCTGACTCTTCTCAGCCCTCAGACACCCACAAGGCAGGGCCGCTGCTGGGAAGGGCGAGATGAATGTCTGAAAGTGCGTATAGGGAAGTGGAACTGAGCTCTTCCTCTGTCGTGTGGAATGAGGAGGTTTTGTAGCACAGTGTAGCCAGGACAAGAAACACAAAGTGCAGAATGAAGGAACTAGACTGATAAGATAATCTTTTCCCTGTCAGCCAACATTCCTGCCAATCTGCATTCCCCCAAAACATTACTGGTCCTAGACGAAGGGCCATTGAAATACCTTCCTAGCAAGGTGAGCTGAGCTAAAGGATCCCGTTTTATACACACATCTAGCCTGCAGGGGTTGAATGTGTGTGGTCTGGTGCTAACAAAAACATCCATGTGATTGGCAGACGGCATCCGAAGGGTAAGGGGTTTGTGGAGTGGAAGAACGTGCTGCTTCTCTAGGACTTGGAGCACTGGACGTACATGCATGGCTGTGGGAGTCAGAGTTACTGCAACCCCTTCAGGAGATGGCTCAGCAATAGCAACAGAAGCTGAACAAATGCGATTTTACTCATAGGTATAGGCACAGCACAAAGGCGTGCACTCCTGCACCAAAAGGCGTGCAAAGCTCAGAGCAGCACTTCACACTGAGGTGGCACCTGTGGGGTGGGAAGGAGATGGAAACGGGAGGCGGGCTTGGAAGCGTTGGCAGTGTTCTGTTTGAGATGAGACGGTTCCACTGGAGGCCGGGAAAAGAACACATTAAAATTAGGGTCTGTGTGTTTTTCCGGGCACTTGTGACACTTCAAAACCAAGTTTTTAAAAATGGTACATCTACATAATCGAAGGTTCCGATTTTTCTCCTACCATGCACTTGCCAAAGTTCCGCTTTTCTTCTCCCCATTCATATTCCCACTCCATCCCCAGACTTTCCCTCCGTATTATTTAAAACATACTTTCCTGCCTAAAGGAAATGAACTGGCGTTTCCACACACTGGCAACTTCCCCAGGATTCTTAACGAGGCTGATTCCGTAACAGTTATCTCCATCTCGTGACTCAGTCTGCTCTGAAGAACCCCGAATGTCTTCAGAGGGAAGATGCAAAGTGACTGCCTCTTTCTCCACCTTCTTTATCCACCACTTTGAGGGCTTCTATGGTGCACTGGCTATATCTCTAGCAGCAGAAACTCTTTGAAGTATATCATTCAATTAACTAGTCCCACTTTCTTATATCCCTCACTGCCTTCTCATCTATACCTTTGGAGATACTGAATATTTCTATTCAAGGTGTAGGGATAGGAGGAATCTTTCCACCAAGACTATTAATTCGAGATATTTGCTAGAAACAGTCATACACTAGGCTTAAAAAGCCAGCATGATCCTGGCTTTCCAGAGAAACACAGAGGTCTTATATGTTAGTAGCAGGTGGGATTTCTTTCAGAGGGGCTGCTGAGAAACCTGTGACTATGGAGTAGAAGCAAAATAATATTGTATTTCAGGATAAGAGTATCTGGCAACAAGCCAGTATCACCAACGCTATGCTGTCCTGGGAAGCCTACCCACACATACCCCAACTTACGACTGGCACAGCTTGACAAGGTCCTGGTCAGTAGTGCCTGGTTGCAAACCCCGGATGTAGAGGTTGGTTTTGCTCAGTTGGTCGTTCCCGTTGCTCCCACTGCTGCTGTTGGGTGCACTGCTGCTTGGACTAGGTGGTGCCATCTGCTGAGACAACAACACATATGACTGCAAGGAAGCATAGGAACAGAGGCCAAAAGGACTGTACAAGCAGACGTTAGAGAGGAACACCCGGGCACCTTGGAAAGAACGATTTCACCCTGGCCTGCGGACTGAAGGATCCTGGGTTCAATTCTGGTCAAGGGCACATGCTGGGTTTCAGGCTCGATCTCCAGTAGGGGGCATGCAGGAGGCAGAAGATCGATGATTCTGTCTCATCACTGATGTTTCTTTCTCTCTCTCCCTTTTCTTAATCTATCTATCTATTTATCTATCTATCTATATATTTATATATTATACTAATAAAAGAGAAACAAGCAAATTGACCATACCTTCCCTATGCTCACAAGCCACGCCCACAAGCCAATCAGGAGTGAGTATGCAAATTAGCCCAACCAAGATGGCTACGGCCATGGAGCCAGCAGGAGGCTTGGGTTTCCCCAGTGATGGAGGAAACCAAGCTTCCTGGCCAGCCCTGGCCTCCCTCAAGGCTACATATTTTCAATTATAGAAGATAAATAAATTCCAGATACCAGGCCCTCCCCTTGGGTTGCCAAGGGGTGTGGCCAGCCTGCAAACCACCACAGGCCCTTCGCTCAGGCCACCTCACGCCCCATGGGAACCCCCACCCTGATCCAGGACACTCTTCAGGGCAAACCAGCTGGCCCCACCCATGCACCAGGCCTCTATCCTATCTAATAAAAGAGTAATATGCAGATTGACCATCACTCCAACCCACAAGATGCCTGCCCCATGTGGTCAAAGATCCTGCCCCCATGTGGACAAAGATGGCTACCACAAGATGGCCAGCAAGGGAGGGCAGTTGGGAGGGACCAAGATTACAAGGGAGAGCAGTTGAGGTGATCAAACCTTCAGGGGAGGGCAGTTAGGGGTGACCAGGCCAGCAGAGGAGGGAAGTTGGGGACAACTGGGCCTGCAGGGAAGGGCAGTTGTGGAGGACTCAGGCCTGGAGGGGACAGCAGTTGGGGGGGATCAGGCTGGCAGAGGAGGGCAGTTGGGGGTGATCAAACCTGTAGGGGAGGGCCGTTAGGGGTAACAAGGCATACAGGAGAGGGCAGTTAGGGGTGACCAGGCATACAGGGGAGGGCAGTTAGGAGCAATCAAGCTGGCAGGGGAGCAATCAGGCATAAATCAGGCTGGCAAGGGAGTGGTTAGGGGCTGATCAGGCTGGCAGGCAGAAGCAGTTAGGAAGCCAGGCAGGCGATCAGCTGGGAACCAGCAGTCCTGGGTTATGAGAGGGATGCCCGGACATCCTTCAAGGGGTCCCAGATTGGAGAGGGTGCAGGCTGGGCTGATGGACACCCCCTCCATGCATGAATTTATAATATAATTAATATATATTAAAACAAAAAAAGAAAGGATGATTTTAAACTTTAAAGCAATGAACTTGATAGGAGAGTTTAAAAAAATTCTAAAGGAATTCATGTCTGCCATAGAATAAATAAATACATAATTGTCTTACCTCTCAGGAATAATGAGGGTCAATGCAAGCTTGTTAAAGGTTTGAAAAAAAGGTACTTTGTTATAGTGAAATGTTTTTATAACCCAGATGGTAGAGAAAACAATGTACGCCTCTTAAATAAACCATATCATTTAGACAAGACTAATAAAATGGAGGTTCCATTAAAAAATAATAAAGAGGAAATAATAAAAACTTGTCAAATCATGAAGGTAAAAATAAGTCGACCGTTTTTATGAATAAGATTATTCATAAAACTGTAGAATAAGAACTGCAAAATACATGCAAGAGCTTGAAAACTATTGTAAATTTGGACAATTAAAATAAAATACTAATTACCATGTTGGGTAGTGAAAAATAAAATTTTTATAATGATATTAGGGGTTCAGTCAAGTCTAAGGTATTTACAAGTTTTAAAAGTTTAAATAAATGAGTAACAGATACATTATGGTCAAGCAATCTAGGATGGGGTGAAACACCTCTTTCTTTCACTACTGATATAAGATGGTACCAGACTCTGCTAAACATCTTTAGGTACTTCTATGAGAGAGGAAACACCAGCCTAGCCGGGACATGGACCCATTCCTTCACGGCATATTTTAGATCTGTATGCTCTGTGTTCACATAAAACTCTAAATCTGCATAATTACCTAGAATATAGTGCCTTTTACTACATCACACTAAATATTTCAGTTCTCACAGGCTTAAAGCACTTGATAAATAAATCTATTAGAAATCACTTTAAAATAGCAGTTTCATCTCCAGGTTTCTCTCTCTTTTTCTCTCTTGTTTGGGTGGTGATGGTACTGAGGGATTGGGTTAGTAACAGCAGAAAACAGAATCATAAATATCAAAGAGGGAACTCTCCCCCCAAAGAATAGCAATTCATGTAAAAGATGCATTTTATATTTCATGCCTCTGACCTTTAGCAAACTTCAAAATTAAAGTCTTGCCCACTGGTGTGGCTCAGCAGTTGAGCATCGATCGACACATGAGCAAGAGGTCGCTGGTCCGACTCCCAGTCGGGGCCCACGCCCGGGGCTGTGGGCTGCGGGCTCTGTACCCGGCTGGGGAGGTGCAGGAGGCAGCGGGTCAGTGATGATGTTTCTCTCTCGTTGATGTTTCTCTCTCTCCCCCCCCTTCCACTGTCTCTCTAAAAATCAATAAAAGCATGTTTTTAAAAAATCCTTAAAAGCATTTCTTTAAATCTCTACTCAGGCTAAAGTATGTTAAAGCAGGTATTTCCCCGCCTTTATCAGGACAGGCATACCTTGGAGATACTGCAGGTTCCTTCGGTTCCAGACCACCACAATAAAGTGAGTGTTGCAATAAAGCAAGTCGCACACATTTTTTGGTTTCCCAGTGCATATAAAAGTTATGTTTTCACTATACCCTCGTTTATTAAGTGTGCATAGCATTATGTCTAAAATATGTACTACATATTCCTTAATGAGAAAATACTTTATTGCTAAAAAATGCTAAGCTTCATCTGAGCCTTCAGCCAGTCATAATCTTTTTGCTGGTGGAGGGCTTTGCCTCAGTGTTGATGGCTGCTGACTGGTCAGGGTGGTTGCTGCTGAAGGCGGGAGTGGCCGTGCCAATTTCTTAAAATAAGGCAACAATGAAGTTCACCACATGGACTGATTTCCTGTCACAAATGGTCTCTATGTGATGCTGTTTGATAGCATATTAACCACAGAAGTTCTTTCAAAATTAAGGTCAATCCTCTCAAACCCTACCAATGCATAATTAACTGAGATTATGTAATATTCTAAATCCTTTCTTGTCATTTCAACAATCTTCCCAGCATCTTCACCAGGAGTAGATTCCATCTCACATACCATTCTCTTTGCTCATCGTTTGTTTTATCATGAGATTGCAGCAATTCAGTCGTATCTTCTGGCTCTACCGATTTTCTGACTCTTTCCCCACCATCCCTGCAGTTACTTCCTCCACTGAAGTCTGAACCCCTCAAAGTCATCACGAGTGTTGGAATCAACTTCTTCCAAACCCCTGTTAATGTTGGTATTTTGACTTTTCCCATAAATCTCAATGTTCTTAATGGCATACAAAACGGTGAGTCCTTTCCAGAAGTTTTCAGTTTACGTTGCCCAGATCCCTCAGAGGAATCACTAACAATGGCAGCTACGGACTCATTAAATGTGTTTCTTTTTTCTATTTGTTTTTTAGAGAGGAAGGGAGAGGGAGAGAGAGAAACATGGGTGTTGAGAGAGAAACATCAATCGGTTGCCTCCTGTTCCCACCTCCCGAACCCGGACCAAAACTGCAACCTGGGCGTGTGCCCAGACGGAATCAAACTGGCATCTTTTCGGTGCTCGGGATGATGCTTAACCAACGGAGCCACAGTAGCCAGGCCTGAAATTCGTTTCTTAAATAACAAGACTTGAAAACCAGAGTTACTCCTTGACTCATGGGCTGACAGAATGAAGGTTGTGTTCCATGATTACAACATTAATCTCCTGTGCATCTCCTCAGAGGTCTTGGGTGTCCAGGTGCATTGTCAATGAACAGTACTATTTTGAAAGGAATCTTTTTTCTGAGCAGTAGCTCTCAAAAGTGGGCTTAAAATATTTAATAAATCATGTTGTAAACAGATATACTGTCATCTAGTCTTGATTTTTCCATGACAAGGCACAGACAGAATAGATTTAGCGTAAATCTACTTACGAGCTCTAGGATTTGGGGAATGGTAAATGATCTTTGGCGTCAATTTAAAATCACCAGCTACATTAGCTCCTAATAAGAGAGGCAGCCTGCCCTTTGGAGCTTTGAAACCAGCATTAGTAGCTATGAAAGTCCTAAATGGCATCTTCTTCCATTACAAGGCCATTGAAAATCCAGTTTAGTACAGATATCTTTATTTAGTTTAGTCTCCATTGAAAATCCAGTTTAGTACAGATATCTTTATTAATTATCTCAGCTAGATCTTCTGGAGAACTTGCTGCAGCTTCAACATCAGCACTTAAAATTACACACACACACACACACACACACACACACACACACACAAGACTTGGTGCATGAAATTCATGCATGGAGAGGTGGGGTGTCCTTCAGCCCAGTCTGCACCCTCTCCAATCTGGAATCTGGGACCCCTCGAGAGATGTCCGGTGGGATCGGGCCTAAATAGGCAGTCGGACATCCCTCTCACAGTCCAGGACTGCTGGCTCCCAACTGCTTGCCTGCCTGCCTTCCTAATTACCCCTACCAGCTTCTGCCTGCCAGCCTGATCACTCCCTAACCATTCCCCTGCCAGCCTGATTGATGCCTACCTGCTCCCCTGCCAGCCTATTTGCCCCTAACTGTCATCCCCTGCGGGCCTGGTCACCCCTAACTGCTCTCCCCTGCAGGCTTGATTGCCCTCACCTGTCCCCTCCCTTGTAGGCCAGGTCCCTCCCAACTTCCCTCCCCTGCTGGCCATCTTGTGGTGGACATCTTGTGTCCACATGGGGGCAGCCATCTTGATGTTAGAGTGATGGTCAATCTGCATATTACTCTTTTATTACAC